CACGCCCACAAGAAAGGGCACCCGGTCGACCTGGCACCTGTGAGACCGCACACAGCGCCAAGAAGATGACATCATCGAGGTTGCCTGCAATTGTCATCACCATCACCTCTTCCCGAGCAGGCTACTCCGACTTCGCCACCTACAACCCATCAAGACCCCTTCGAACACCGAGCGACCTAGCCACCCACACGAAGACACACACGGTGCCGAGAAGAAACACAAAGCCGAGGTAGTCACCAGGTGTCATCGTCATCACTCCTCCATGAGTCACTTGATTCTAACTTAACTTCCACAAACAAAGTCCTTGTCGCAATAGACGCCCATACCCATATCGACCCATGCAAACCAGTTGACCCTCGCGTAACAACAGGCAGCTCAGACTTTGATGACGAACTCCAGAAAGGAAATGCGCAAGACCCGCACTGAAGAAGATCTTCATCATCGGACCGCCCATTGCAAGTCATCGTATGCAGCTCAAATGAGGACGCTCAAAAACATAGCAGCTTCGACTTCATGACAAGCGAAGCCCAAGCCGAAGATACTCGGACACGCCAGAGCAAAGCCGACTAACAAGGTCTTGCCGCTACCAAACCATCTCTCACCAACACCATCGTTGCCACACAAGCCATCACACGAACCTCTCGCATCGCCGGCCACCTGCCGCAATGCAGTGGAAGTCCAGCTCCGGAAAAGCACGCAGGGAATCACGGTTTTCAAGACGATGCCCTCAGGAGGGGAAGCGACGTGGATTGACACCATCGTCTGACCCAACGGTGTAGGGCCTAGGCTTTCACCTGAAAAAAGTGACCCGAGAGCGGGGGAGGTAGGAGAGCTCCATGATAGCCCCAGGAGGAGAGCCACATCCGTAGATGCCACGCCGTCAGCTTTCGCTCGGAGCAACCCTACCTCCGTACCCTCACGCCACCGGACGAAGATGGGGAACCCTAGCACCGCCGTCTTGCAAACCCATTGGCCCAAGCACCTCCTACGCGGCAACGACACTATCACCGCGTAGGACCACCAACCTCACCGTCGGCAGAAGCCAGCGGGCCAGATCGGGCCAAGCCCGCCATGGCTAGATCTAACACCTCTGAGCGATGTAACGTCGACGCGGCCACGAGCATCCAGAAGACCATCACCAACGTCGGAGGAACAAAGCAGGGAAGGGGGGCCGCCATCCCGCCCCACCACGTCGAACAGGATCCAGAACTCGAGCCGGCGCAACCGCATCTGGGAAGACCCATAGCTCTTCCCATCGCCGCACTTCCAAATCACCGGGAAGAGGACGAGGACGCCGAGACGGGCAGCCGCCACACCGGCCGAAGCGTTGAGGACAAGCCTCCCACCACCACGGGCTCATGCCGCAAGCCGAGGCCGCCGCGCGTGGAGAGCACCCTGCCATTGCCATCCTCTAGCGCAGGCTTCGCCCGACGGACTCATCTGGTAGCGGCGGCAGGGTGAGCCATGTTGGAGGGGGCGGTCTGTGAATCCGCCTGTGATAAGTCAGTCACTAGTGGTTTTGCGGCCGTCAATGATGTTGATTTCCAGCCACAACAAAATTGTAGATGGGACTATCAATCAAAAGTAATAAGAATTTTGCAGCTAGCGTGCTCATTTTGTCATATAAGACCATTTACATCCGGACCTCTCAAACCTGCCTCATACGCCCGGGCAGCCCGCCCAGTCGCTATCCGATCGTGATTTTTTGATCCATCCGGGTGCCTCAAACATCCGGACTGTCCGGCACCCCCCATATTGAGCCCAAATATAGGCGGATATGGGTGCGCCCGCCACATCAGCCCGGCCCACCCCGACCACACCCCCGTCCCCACAAATATCCCCAATCCAGAAATCCTAGCTCACTCCACTCTCGCTCCGTCTCTTCTTCTTCCCCCAATTCGATCCATCCGAGCGACTCCGGCGACCATGTCGTGCGCCGGCAGCCACTCCGACTCCGATATTGATGCCGACGAGAAGCTCGGCCTCCGCATTGCCATTGAGAGGTTGAAGGTGGACCTGGGCGTGCGCAGCGAGGATGCTAGCGATGGCTTCTCCCTGCCCACGCGCAGCTCCAGGAGGGTAGCGCAGTCCGCGCCTCCCCCATACCGTCCCCTGCCCCCTCCTACCGCCCTGTTTGTTGCTCCCCCGCGTGAGCAATGTTGGGTGCTTGTGCTCGCCCTGCCGGCCCGGCGCACCCGCCGGAGTCGGAGGCGTGAGCTGCCCGCTGCGAGAGGCAGCGGGCAACAGAGAGGGACGCAACGGAGAGCTCTGTCCACCGCCGCCGCGGGTTATGGGCGGACTCCGATGAGGATGAGCGGCTCCTCGTGTGGGTTTACCACCGGTCCCTTACGACGGCGGAGACAGACACTCGACGGCTCCGCCGAAAAAACGCGAATGCTCTCCGGCTTGCCATCGAGCAGTCTGACCCGGAGGCCAAGGAGAAGGCCACAGAGGCGGCTTGGCTGGCGAAGTTCAGGCTACCATAGGACCGGTCCGTCCAGCACCTCAAGGACCTGGTCATTCTCTCCTCCTCGTCCGACAACCACAGCTCCTCGTCGGATGAATCGGACGATCCTCCACCAACCGTTGACGGCTACAGTTGTGCTGGCGATCGGAAGCAGAAAGGGCCAGCCCAGAAGTGGTGAAGTTTAATTTTATTTTAAATATTAGATGTAGTTTAAGTTTGTCCGTTGTTTATGTGAACTTTGGTGGCCTTTTGATGAATGTATTATGGTTGCATATGTTCGCTTCTATGTCGGTTCGCTGATTTACGTAGAATATAGAGGTTTGAATATGAGATACACGGATATGGACGACGCGATTTGAGAAGAGTCCAATCACTGTCCCCGCGGACACATCCAGTCGCGTCGGCGGCCGTTTGAAGAGCTGAATTTGCTGTCCGTGGTTGTATATGCTCTAAGCATCTCTCCTAAAACAGCGCATCCGCGCCCGTTTGAGGAGTATTCCGTCAGTAATGAACCATGGCAGCCATGACGGCAACAGGTTTGGTCAAAATTACCAGTGATGTGAATATGTGATAGGTTGTCCCATTAGTGAGATATTGAAATATTGTGGTTGCTTGCTGCAGTTAGAGCATCTACAACCGGACCTCTCAAATCCGTCTCCTACGTCCGGGCGGACCGTCCTGTCAGTGGATGATCACGATTTTTGACCCAGACGACCCCTCAAACTACCCTTAAACGCCCGGGCTAGCTGACCGACACTCGCCATATCTAGGCCAAATTTGGGACGGATATGGGGCGCTCGGGTGTGCCCGGCCGTGGGCCCGCTATGGCCAGCAACGACCCCATATAAAATCCTCCCAATCTGCTTGTCGGACCAAACGCTAGCCACTACACTCCCCTTCACTCCACTTCCCATCCGCCACCCATGCTCGTCTCCGGCTCCTTCCGGTCGTCTCTGGAATGGCGGGCAGCAGATCCGAGTCCTTCACCTCCAGATCCGTCGACCCCGAGCTCATCTCTCGCGGCCCCGAGGAGGAGATGGTCATCATCCCTAGAGGCGAGGATGACGAAAAGCGTTGTGGTGTGGTGTTTCCATTTTCCTACATTTTCTGATTTTTGTGCTTTTGTTTCACGAGTGTTGGTAGTTTTTTTTATTTTATCAAATAATTATTTTTCTTGCCCAGTTTCCTTGAAATTGACATATTTTGTAGTTTCTTATTTTCGAATTTAAATCATGTGTAACTGGAAGTCGGTAGCACAAAACAACCATCACATCATTGAAGTTTTGTATCATTTCAGAATCTAAACATGCGAGCAAAGGCCGAGGCTATCCCCATTTTTGATGTTTTTTTCCTGAACTTGGGAAATAGCGTGGGACCAAAAATAAAATTTACTCCTTCTGTTTCTAAATATTTGTCTTTCTAGATATTTCAATAAATGACTACATACGAAGCAAAATGAATGAATCTACACTCTAACATATGTCTATATACATCCGTATATGATAGTCCATTTGAAAGCTCTAGAAAGACAAATATTTAGGAACGAAGGGAGTATTATTCAATAAAGAGAAATACATAAAATGGCTTAAATTTTAGGAATTAAGTAATAAGTGCTCTTAATATAATAAGCAAACTGAATTCTGACACTACTCAATGCTTTTGTTGCAGTCTGTTGAGCTATATGATGAAGATATTATATTGTTGACCATGCATGACCTGGTGCATGATTTGGCAAGATCGGTCATGGACGAGGAAATTCTTTTGGTTGTCAAAGGCAATAATGCTGAAGAAAGCTGCTACCACTACGCATTACTCAGTGATTGTAGCAAGCCATTGGGATCGGACTTATCCAAGATAAGGGCGTTGCGTTTTATGGGCTGTGACAAATATAAACTTCATGATGATGCATTTTCATCTGCCAAGTCTTTGCGTGTCTTGGACCTAAGTGAGTGCACCATACATAAGCTGGCATACTGTATTGGTGACCTGAAGCAATTGAGATATCTTAACACTCCAAGAGTCCAAGATACAAAGATTCCAGACAGTATCACCAAGCTCTCAAAATTGATTTACCTGAACCTTCATGGATCTCCTACAATCTTAGCACTACCAGAGTCAATTGGAGAAATTGAGGGTCTAATGTATCTTGATTTGTTAAGTTGTTCCGGAATTACAAAACTGCCAGAATCATTCAGGCGGCTACAAAAGTTGGCGCATTTGGATTTATCAAATTGCTCTTCTGTAGAAGGAATATCGGTGTTCTTGGAGAGCCTCACACAACTAGAGTATTTGGACTTGTCATACTGCCCAAATATCGGAGACATACCAGAAGCTCTGGGTGACCTATCCAAACTGCAGTATTTGAACTTATCAAACAGCTCATATCTTTGGTAAAGAAGCAGAATTTTTGGGAGCCCTCACCAAACTCGACTATTTGAACTTATCTTCAAGGGAATGTGGACTCAAAAAGCTCCCTGAATCTTTGTGCACATTCAGTCAACTCAAGTACTTAAACTTATCAGGTTGGCGAGCTATGAACAAGTTGCCAAGATTATTTGGGAGTCTGAAGAATCTGCTCCATCTTGATTTATCAGGTTGTTATATGGTTGATGGTGTACATGAAGCTTTGGTCGGTCTTACCAGTCTGCAACATTTGAATTTACAACATACACAGCTCAGTTTGCTGCCAGATGATCTGACCAAGCTCCGGTATTTAAACCTATCTGGATTGACAAAGATAGTAGTTGATTCCTCTGGGACATTCAGTTTTCTCTCTGAGACCTGGGACATTCTCACCAACCAGGTATGCAGAATTAATCTTTCAGAGCTAGAGCATTTGGACTTGTCTGCAAATTATCAGATGAAAAGAATACCAGAAAGTATTTGTAGCATGACCAAACTGCACACATTGGACCTCTCGGGTTGCACAAAATTGGAGAAAATACCCGAAAGTATATGTACAGTTGGTAGCTTGAAGTTTCTTTATTTAGAGGATTGTTACAGTCTTGATGAAATACCTCAACTCGGTAGCAGTGCAATATCGTTACCACACTTTGTGGTGCGTGCTGGTAATGATGGATCTAGCAGCAATCTTGTCCTGCTAAAGCCCACAGATCCTTCTGAGTTGGAGATAACTAAGCTTGAAAATGTGAAGTCCGCAGGAGAGGCACATAGTATAAAATTAATGGAAAAGCAAAGCATTCAGATGTTGAAACTGGAGTGGACTCAAGGTGTTGACAGATTTGTGGATGACAAAATGTTGCTGAAAAAACTAGTGCCTCCAAGCACATTGAGGGTGTTGGAGATATGTGGTTATAACAGTGTCATCTTTCCAGGCTGGGTAGTGGGCCAACTACCAAACCTGGACTCACTGGTTCTCATAGATATGCCAAATCTGGAAGAGTGGGACACTTCATACTCCACCGGTGAGGAGAAGGTGTTAATAAGAGTGCAAATACATGGTTGCCCCATGCTAAGGATGAAAGGGCCTCTGCCTAAAGCTAACATATGGGAGATAAGATGCAGTGATAATGTGTTATCATCATGGGATGAGTGCATTGTGTCACACACTAATGCTTCTTCGTCTTCTTCTAAAGTAACTACTAAGCTGTCAGTTAGAGACTGCAAGGGGCCTCACCAATGGAGGTGGCTTCAACACTTCCCTGGACTCACTTATTTGTCTATTAACAATTGTGGCGATCTAACCGGCTCACCAGATATCATCCAACTACTATGCTCTTTGGAGGAACTATGGCTAGAAGACGAAGACATGGACGAACTGCCAATATGGTTGGGTGAGCTCCCATCTCTAAAGAATCTGACTATACATAATAGCAATGGTGTAAAGGAGTTGAACGAGAACATGAGGCAACTCACAAAGCTTAAATCGCTAGAACTGGGCTTCTGCAAAAGCATATCTGCAGTGCCACATTGGCTAGGCGAATTGACCTCTCTCAAGAAACTTGAGATACATAACAATGAAGGCTTGAGGTCCTTGCCGGCAAGCATACAACGACTCACCAGCCTCCAGGAAATGGTACTTATTAACTGCGATGCATTAGAGCACGTGGTTCCTGAATCAGAGGAGGGTAAGATGAAGCTGGCTGACAACCAACAAAGTGAATCTGCTCTGCCCACCTCTCTAAAGAGTCTTTGTCTGAGTCGATGTGTTGGTATCAAGTCTTTTCCTGCAGGAATACATCAACTCACTAACCTCCAATACCTAGAAATAACTAGGTGCCCTGGACTAAAGGAATGGTGTGAATTAGAGGAGACCAAGATGACGCTGGCTCGCATAGAAAAGAAGGTATGTGTCATGCCACGCCCTTTGTCATACTAATCTTATTTTGCAATGCTTCATCTTACATCTTTTCTTGATGTATTAAGTCTTGCATTTCTTATTGGGTTCTTTCATGCATAAATGGAGATATATTCGTCTGCTTTTCTTTGCAATTTCCCTTTTGTTTAAAAGCGCCTTGTTTCACAAAATATAACACTAGCACAAAGACGAATTTAATTTCTAGAGCACGTCTGGTGATAGTGAACCGCTGCCAATGTAAAATGGGCACAATAGCTGACTTAGGACTTAGTTTGCAGCACAGGCCAGTAAGTGTGTTACACTTGGAACCATTATTTCTTGATCTGAAGTAAACATCTTCCTTGTGTATTCTGAACCTGCACTTATCAAGCATATCAACTAAATGGAATCTAATAAAAGAATTGTCACCATCCATTTTGCAGATTATTTGGTTCTAGACAGTGTGCATATACTGCACAACCAGGTGGCCAGCTTGCAAACCTGAATCAACCTGCAAGATTTTGTTCTGGATGGTTTAAATTGTTGGAGTTGAAGGAGCAGCATCGAGAGCACAGAAATGACGTGCTATGGTGAGAGAAACTTGTTTGCAAGACCTGCAGCATGGGACTTTGAGGCCTCTCTGTTTTTGTATGTTTGACCAAACAGGAGATTGCAGTACCTGTAATATTATATTTGTGAATTTCATTTACTCGGTCCTCGCTTGTGTTGAGCATGCCTAACACCTGTAGTCTGTTGCTACTTTGTCAGGAAACTACTTTACTGGTACTGTTGCTACTCTTTTTTTCGACAAAGGGTGGATTTTATTAGCTCAATATGGAGCATCAAGGGGATACAAACACAAAGAGCACACACCCGGCCTCTGCATAGATAAGATGCACACAGCCAACACAAACGCACACACACAAAATCACACCGACAACTAGCAAAGTCATACGACCGAAACTATGCCAAGGCGGATAGGAAACAAAAAGAAAGTGAAAAAAGGCAATGATAATCCACGTCGAGCAGGTGTTCATCCAAAAGAAGATGGTGCAAGCGCACGTGATCCGAACGTGGACACAACCACGCAGACTAAACGTGATCCGAACGTGGACACAACCACGCAGACTAAACACGCACGCACTATGAAAGCGGCTTGCCAAAGACCGTCCGCGGAACCAGAACCGCCGTCGATGTTCAAGTGACATCGGTCGCAGCTCAAATAGCAAGAAGAGATGGTACCGCCAAAATCTCATTGAGACGCTCCGGCGACCCCATGCTTCCGATGCAAGTGTTTGTCGATGGTAAATCTTAGCATGACCATAGGCCCCAGACAATACACCATGAGCCTACATTGCGCCGCCTTGGCTGCAACAAGCCGTCAATATCATCGAAGATGACTTGGCTATCTGTACCGCTATCGCATCCCTGGACTACCACTGTGCACCATGTTCGCAAGGCCGCCCTGCAGCAACGGATCATCCCTGCTTGACGGCACAAAAGCAACTGGCAAACCGCCATCAGCCACTAGTCTCGCTAACTAGGCCCAACTCCAAGATGATACCCCCAACGGGGAACACGACCCCAAGTGCTGCCATCATCCGATCCGGACGAACCCGGACCTAGGGTTTCCCCTCAAGTGTTCTGGGAGGGAAGCCGGAGATTACATGTCGACGCCTTCATCAAGGGGGAATTTGAGGATTTGCTACAGGTTTGTTTGCACTTTGAGGATTTGCCCTCCTTTTCCTTGTCATGGATTATTTGCCACATCTTTGTCAGTTTCTTGATGATTTGCCACCGACGGTACGGACCAACAGAGAAATGTCTTAAATGCCCCCTCGTGACACCCTGTCTCGTTCTTGTTCCCTTCGTCCTCGTCTCGTTCAAAAGCATGGAAGACGGAAGCGGCTCCGCCTGCTCGTGAGCTCGTCGTCATCCAAACAGGTCGAGATGTGAGCACGAAAACGGAGGCGGGGGAGCGAGCCGATCCTGACAGGTTGTTGAAGGGGAGGAGCACGGCGAGGCTGCCGGGGAGCAACACGGCAGGCAGCGAGAACGAGGTCGTGCAGCCTGTGTGCGCGTTGCAACCGACGCCCGACCAAGAACAGGGGCGCTTGTCGTCGTCTGTCCACTTGGTGAGACTGCCCAGTCGACCAACGACGCTTGTTTTGACGACCACCGGGCACCAGCGCAAGCACGCCGTCGGTGAGCGCGGTGGTGGTCTTCGCCATGACCGGGGTGGACGGGCGGCGGGGAGCAGCACGGGCGGGGAGGGAGGTGGCGAAGGCTGTTGCTGCGGCCCGGGAGGGGATGCGTGCGGGTGGTGGTGTCACACCGGAAGCTTTCTCCTATTTGCGTCGGAGGAGAACTTGATGAAATCGTAGTGGCTGATGATGGCGGATGCTTGTGCCTGGCACACGATCGATGACGGTGGCTTCTCTTTTCTGGCCGTCGACCTCGGCACGCTTGGTCTGGAGCGGCTAGCAGGAGCACAACAAGGCTGTGAGCCATGGCGAGCAGCCGGGATACGAACGAACAGAAAAATGGGAACGATCAAACAGGAAGCTGGCTAATTTAGGCCGGGGCAGTTTAGTCACTGATTTTGTATTGTAATTCCATACCGATCATAAGGGGCAAATCATCAAGGATCTGGGAAAGGTGTGGCAAATTATCAGTGACAAGGAAAACAGGGGCAAATCCTCAAAGTGTAAACAAACTTGTGGCAAATGCTCAAATTCCTCTTCATCAAGGTAGCGACGCCATAGGCGCCGTCGTCGTTGGCTTCGACCGTAGTCAAAGTCTGGCTTTCGCCCGCAGTCTCCATCTCCTCCAAAAAAAGAGCCTAACTGCTCCACCACGTCCACCTTCTTCACCACAGGACCACCATGGCCGGAGGATTGGATCCTTCTAAGCCGGAAAGTCCCGAGGCAAGATATGAATCAGATCAGGGACCGCACCGGCCAAAGAAGGCGCCATGCCAGATCACCAAAGCGCGGTCGCCTTGTGCATGCCATCCAGCCACCGCCATGCATCTGGGCCTCCAAGCATCGACGCCATGCCACCGCCCGCCGGTGAGCGCCGCAGCCCCACCACTCTCTCCCGCAGATCCGGCCAAGGCATCTCGTGGCCAGCCGCCACACGGATCAGCCGAGGCATCCAATGGGTTGCCGCCAATGAGATCCAGGCCGGGATAGAGAGAGGCCAACTCAGGGAAGTGCCCCGCCGCCGCCGTCCCCGGACCTGCCTGGGCTTCGCCTGCAGGGCCTCAGGCGGCGGCGAGACGAGGAGGAGGAAGGGGGAGTCCGGCGGCGACGCGATTGGATCTCCCCCGAGTCGCCAGAGAAGGAGGCGACGCGGGGGTCTCCTGAACCGAATAAGTTGGTGTCACGTATGAGGGTACTGTTGCTACTCTAATCGGTGTTAACATTCAGCTAACGATGATGAAAGCCTGAAACATATGACAGTGGCAATACATCGTCTTACCCGGTGGCGTCTCCTCCCGCCCCGCCGCGCTTCGGCCCCGGTGGCACACCATATCGTCAGAGATATGCTCGCCTCTGCCTTGCCTCAAAGCTTCGATGGCTCCGTTGCACCTCGGTGGATGGATCCAACTCCGGCGAACGGCGTAGATCCCAAACAACATGCCCCTCCGGCTCAGAAAGACGATGGATAACAGGGGAAGTCCATTCATGCTAATAAGTTCTGATTCAGGGGGAATTGAGATGGAAAAACTAAAGATGATTCAGGGGGAATGGTGAAGACGACGAGCCATGTGTTTCACTGGACTCGATTTGACAACATAGGCCCAGCCCACTGCTGACTAGGGCTGCAAGAAAAGCTCGAGGCTCATGAGCCGCTCGAGATTAACCCGTTTTTCGACTCGACTCGAGCTCGACTCAAAAAGAAACAAGCTGAGTTTGAACATTTTATGTAGCTCAACCGAGAAATGAGCCGATCTTGAGCCAGTGTTGGCTCGCTCGATTTTAGCTCGATAGATCGACAAAATATCATTATGTTAAATGATCATGTCATATATTAAATGAAAATAAGATAATTTATTATCATATATGTTGTCCATAATTTTTTTCCATTTTATTTACCAACGAACATGGAAACTTAATTAAGTGCAGAGAAGATTTAGGCCTAATTATGGCACGTGGTCAACTATGTATTAAATATTCTATATTTTTGGCAAAGGTCCCAGCATATTCGCCTTAATTTTTTGTTTTCATCCATAAATTTATAATTTTTACCATCTGATTTAGCTCGAAACTAGCTCGAGATTGACTCGAGATCGTTACAAGCTGAGCACGAGTCATGTTCTACAACTCGATCATGAGCTTCACTCAGTTTGAGCTCGCTCAAATTTTTATATGAGTTGAGCTGAACCAACTCCAACTCGCTCGAGCTCGACTCGTTTGCAGTCCTACTGCTGACTAGGCTGATTTTTTTTCTCTAGATAATGCGTGTATACCGAGCTTCTAGCGAGTCGGAGGGAAGACTCGCTGCTGGATCAAGATGGGCCGGTCCATACACGCGAGATGATACAGCCTCGTTTTCTTTCAGTGTTGTTTCTTATATTTTCTGTTTTCTTTTTTTTTTGCGGAGGAGTTTTCTTTTGTTTATACTTTATATGTTCTTACTTTTGTTTATACTTTAAAATATTCCAAATACATGTATTACAAAAAAATCTACAAAAATTATTTCAAATGTTTACCAATCATTTAAAAATATTAAATGCGTGCAGAGAAAATGTTTATCACGTATAAGAAAAATGTATAGAAAAACAATGTGTATGAAAAAATTTGATCACGTATTTAAAAAATGTTAATTAAGCATTTCAAGAAATGTTAAACTATTATTTGAATAATTTTAATCAAACACTTGAAAAATGTCAAATGTGCATAGAAAAAATGTTGACCATGTATTAAAAAATGCTAAAATTGTATTTGAAAATTGATAATCAAGCATTTGGAAAATGTTAAATGTTTATAGAAAATATGTTGACCATGTCTTGAAAAAATGTTAACTAAGCTTGCACGTGCAACTCACATCTCAAACGTTGACCTAATAAGATTCACATCTATATGCAATAAAAAAATAGTTTGCAAAAACATCTTATATTATGGGATGGATGGGGTGTGAGTTAAATGGAAACACTACATTGTGATGTCACTCAAGTTGGGTTTTTTCAAAGTGGGACATCTTTGCGGTCCTCCTTGTGCATAGAGACAATAATATATTTAATCTATTGAATATTCTATATGTTGAAAAAGAATAAAAAATCTAGTTATGATTGAAAAAAGCCTTGCATTATGCTTAGTACATGGAGACGCAATGCTACAAGATGGTCGCCAACTGTCTTGGGAATTTGTTTGCAGTACAGACCAGTGAGTTACACTTTTCTTCTTGATCTGAACAAAACATGTTTCTCCTGTATATAGAACCTGCACTTATCACTGATATCAACTAGAATGGAATCTAATCAAATAATTTCCACCATTCGTTTTACAGATTATTGAGTTCTAGACAGTGCATGCATGCATATACTGCACAACCAGGTTGCAACCTGAATCAACCTGCAAGATTTTGTTCTGGGTGGTTTAAATTGTTGGAGTTGAAGAAGGACCTGAAATTACAAGCCATGGTGACGTGAAACTCGTTTGCAAGACCTGCAGCATGTGACTTTGAAGCTGCAGGCCACCACCTGTACGGTGTCTAGTATTTTGTTCTACGGGGTCTCGAAACTCAATGTAGAATCCTCTTCCCCACCCTTTCTACTTTGTGCTTAGCTTGGAGGTTATATGTTCCCTGCTCCTTTCACCGCCTCTCTGTTTTTGTATGTTTGACCAAACGGAAGAAAACTGCTGCCCAAGTGCGCTGTTCATTCCGTCCTAGAGTGCGTGATAGGTACTGTACTTGCTTGCTTATACAACTTGTTGCTAGTTTAGTTTGTCTGTCAGCAAACTAATCTGCTGGTACTGTTGCTACTCTACTCCGTGTTAACAAGCAGCTAACCATGCTGAAGAAAGCCTGAAACATATGACAGTTGCAATACATCGTCTTACCCAAGTGCTCGTCTGGTGGCGTCTCCTCCCCTGTCGCGCTTCGCGCCGCGCTTGAACAACCGCGCTTCGCGCCGCGCATAAAAAACCTGTTTGCCGCGCGCGCTTCGGCTTGTTTAGCGCGGCCGCCGGCGCTGGCTCCAGCAGCCACGCTATAATGCAGCGCGCGCGCACCGCTCCAGCAGCGCGCACGCCGCACAAACCACATATACATTTCAAAAAAGAGGAGCAAAAATAATCAAACAAACAAAATAAATCAACAATAAATAGTTCAATTTCGTTATCATTACAACTCAAACAAATAGTTTATCATTCAGTACAACAAATAATGCAATAAACACAACAAATAATTCATGAACAATACAATGTCGAATGCAAAAATCATGCTCTTTGTCGTCCATGCCATGCCCACCACTCTTCAATCAGGTCATTCTGAAGTTCATTGTGTGTTGTGGGACGCCGAATGGCATGATAGGAGTCAATAAAACGGGCTACCCTTTTAGCCCTCCGTCACACTCGCACGGGATGTCCCAAGAGCTCATACTGTGAGTAGTCTAAATCTTGACCACGCTCATTCTCGATGATCATGTTGTGAATGATCACACAAGCGTGCATGATGTACCAAAGCGTTTTTTGATCCCAAAATCTAGCCGGTCCTCTCACAATAGCAAATTGGGCTTGCAAAATCCCAAATGCTCTCTCCACATCTTTTCTAGCCGCCGCCTGAGCATTGTGGAAATCAAGATTTTTCTTACCTTCCGGCTTTTTCAACGGCTTCACGAAGGTTTGCCACTTTGGATAGATGCCTTCCGCTAGATAATAACCATTGTTGTACGTACGGCCATTTGCTACAAACTGCACCGGTGGCAACTCACCGTTTGCAATCTTATTCATCAGTGGTGACCGGTTGACAACATTGATGTCATTCAAAGATCCAGGCATTTCAAAGAATGCATGCCAAATCCAAGTCTCCTGATCGGCCACCGCTTCAAGGATTATAGTGGAACCTTTTTTTGGCCGTGGAATTGCCCATGCCATGCCTTTGGACAATTCTTCCAACTCCAATGCATGCAATCTATTGAGCCAAGCATGCCAGGAAAGCCGCGCGCTTTGTTCATCGCCAATAGCCTTGCGGCGTCTTCAGCAGTGGGAGATCTCAAATACTCCTCGCCAAACACTTGCACAATTCCCACTGCATAGCGCTTGACACACATGATGGCTTGGCTCTCACCCATAGCCAAGTGATCATCAATTAGATCAGCCGGGATACCGTATGCCAACATACACAAAGCGGCTGTCACCTTCAGAAAGGTGCTATGCCCGAGCTCTCCGGCGGCATTCCTCCTTTGCTGGAAAAACCGGTCATGGCTCGCTAGTTTCTCTGCAATGCGCCTGAACAAGTCGGTGCTCATCCTAAACCGGGCGACGAAAATACGACTCCGGGTATGTGGGATTCTCCATGAAATAGTTCTTCATCAATCTGTTACGGGCATCAATCCTATCTCTCCAAATTTTCTCCCGACCCATAACCGAACCACCGTGCTTTGGTTTTTTATTGATATGCATAGCTATGATCATTGCAAGATCCTCCTCCTCTTCCATATCAAATTCTTCTTCGGAAGAATCATACGACGAACTCATCTACAATGTTCAATACTATACTATAAAAACTACAATTCAAAACATGCACCAAATTCATGAAGTTTGAGCAATACATACCTTGTAGGCGTTTTGTCGAACACCTTGTGGGCGCGGCGCGGCAGCGAGTGCTCGGGCGCTATTCCTCGGACGACGGAGGCGCGCGAGGCCGGCGGGACTAGGAGGGGATGGGGCGGAAGCACGGCGGCGCGGGGATAGGCCGGGGAAGCGCCTGAACGGTCGCCGGGGGGCGCGGGCGGCGGCAGCGGCGCGAGCGGCGCGGCCGGATGGGGGTGGAAGTGGGAGAGCGAGCGCTCGAGTGTGCCGCGCGCGGTAGCGGGCGCCCGAAATACACCGCGCGGGATAGTGCTTCCGACCGCGCGCCCAACTAGTTATAGCGTGCGCGCCGTTTTTGCGCGCCCGCTGGAGCGACCCGCCGCGTTGCGCGCGCGCTAAACGGCCTAATCTGCGGCGCGGCGCTAGTTTTAGCGCGGCTGTTGGAGATGTTCTTACCCAAGTGCTCGTCTGGTGGCGTCTCCTCCCGCCCCACCGTGCCATCTCCGGTCTTCGTATGTCGACCTCCTCCGCGTGAGGGCAAGAGGATGACAGTGGACCGGAGGTGAAAGAATTCCGGCCGTCCTAGCGCTTGGATGAAGGGTGGAGGAACTCAAGGGCGGGGGAAGATTGATTCCTGGCGGCTCGCCGGCGTTGTGTTGCGCGTGCACGTGATTTGGGGAATTTGACAAGACGACGCACTGGACTCGATTTGATGACACAGGCCCAGCCCACTGCCGACCAGGCCCAACTCTTTTTATATATACTAGAGAAAAATGCACATTCCTCTCTAAAAAGAAGAAGAAAAAGAGAGATGGTCAACGCCAATCATGCTCGTCTGTGTGTGTGTGTTTTGCGAGAAATCATGCTAATATTTAGCTTTTGTACACTTGGATGCTGTTTTCTTTCTCTGCTGTTTTGCTCTTCGGTTTTTGTACACTTTTTTTTCATAAAAGAATGAAGCTTCAGTACGTACAGGACAAACACACATGTATACGCTAGCTCTGTAAAACAGGCGGTTGGATCATATCAGCTTCTCTGACAAAACCGAGCGTGGTTCCTGATCACGTTCCCTACAAATCAGCCGGTTGATTTGTTACGTACAGGGTTAAGCCGCCTCCAGAGTCGATCAGGTGCATCCCAGCCGTAGGATCCATGTGCACCAAAGCAACGTGTGGCCACTCGCTTGTGATAGAACATTGCAACGGAGACCGTGTTGCAATGCAGCACCGGCTACACACCACGTCCCACTTGACCCCCGTGATTAGCGGGTGGCGGCGATCGACCCGCTGTCTGCCCATCGTTCGGCATCGTTCTGCCGTCGCAATTGGATGCTGCTGTACACTTGGATGCTGTTTTTTACACTTGGATGTTGTTTTCTTTATCTGCTGTTTTGCTCTTCGGTTTTTGTACACTACTTTTCTTCATAAAGTAAAAAAAAGGAAGCTTCAGTACGCACACGAGAAACACACATGTATACGCTAGCTCTGTAAAACGGGCGGTTTCATCATGTCAACAAGTGCTTCCTTGACGAAAGCAAACGTGGCTCCTGATCAAGTTCCCTTCATGTATAGGGCGGCAACTACAAATCAGTCGGTTGATTTTTTACAAAGTTAAGCCGGCTCTAGAGCCATCAGATCAGGTGCATCCCAGCCATAGGATCCATGTGCACCAAAGCAATGCGCCTCCACTTGCTTGCACTAGTAGAAAAACACCTAATAGTCCTGGTTCGTAAGGGCCTTTAGTCCCGGTTCATGAACCGGGACTAATGGGTCGTTA